TTTATGTGAGTTCATTATTGGTGTATAGAAAAGCCATAGATTTCTGGGTATTAATTTTGTATCCTGCTACATTGCCAAATTCATTTATTAAATCTAGTAGATTTTTGATGGAGTCTTTGGGGTTTTCTATGTATAATATCAAGCCATCCATGAATAAGGGCAGTCTTACTTTTTTTTTTCCAATTTGGATGCCTTTTATTTCTTCTTCTTGTCTAATCACAATGGCTAATACTTCCATCGAATAGGAGTGGTGAGAGGGCGCATCCCTATCTTGTTCCTGTTCTTAGGGGCAATGGTTTTAGTTTTTGCCCATTGAGTATGATGTTGGCAGTGGGTTTATCATATATAGTTTTTATTATGTTGAGGTATGATCCTTCTATTCCCAACTTGCTAAGACTTTACCAAGAAAGGGTGTTGGATTTTCTGCATCAATGGATATGATTATATGGTTTTTACCTCTCAGTTTTTTTATGAGGTGTACCATATTTATTGATTTGTGGATATTGTACCATCCTTGAATCCCCAGAATAAACTTCACTTGGTGGTATGATCTTAATGTAATGCTGGATTCTATATGCTAGAATTTTGTTGAGAATTTTGGCATCTATGTTCACGAGGAATATTGGCCTAGAATTCTCTTTCTTTGTATTGTCTTTATCTGATTTTGGGATTAAGATAATGCTGGCTTTGTAGACAGAACTTGGAAGTATTCCTTCCTCTTGAATTTTTTGGAATAGTCTGAGGAAGATAGGTTTTATTTCTTCTTTGAATGTTTGATAAAACTTCTGGAAAGCCATCTGATCCAGGGCATTTGTTTGTTGGAAGTTTTTTGATTACTACTTCAACATCCTCCATAAATATCGGCCTATTCATATTTTTTCATTCCTCCTGGTTGAGTTTTGGAAGGTCATATTTTTCTAGGGATATGTCCATTTCTTCTAGGTTGACCAGTTTGTTGGAATAGAGATGCTCATATCATTGTTTTTTTTTTTTCATAATCGTTTGTATTTCGATGGGATTGGTTCTTATTTCACCTCTTTCATTTCCGATTTTGTTTATTTGGGTCTTCTTTTTGCCTCTTGGTGAGCCTGGCTAGAGGTTCATCAATCTTATTTATCCTTTCAAAGAACCAGCTCTTGGTTTTGTTGATCTTTGTTGTTGTTTTTTTGTTCTCTATGTCATTTATTTCTGCTCTGATCTTTATTATACCCTTCTTCTGCTTATACTGAGCTTTTCTTATTGCTCTCTTTCTAATTATTTGAGTTGCAGGGTTAGGTAATTTATTACATTGCAGAGTTAGATAGTCTATTACCAGTTTTTCTTGTTTTTTTTTTGAGGTAGGCCTGTAATGCTATGAAGGCCTGTCATGCTATGAACTTCCCTCTCAGGACTGCTTTCACTGTGTCCCATA